ATTGAGAGTGGACTGAAGATAACACTAATTAAGTACCAATTCAATCATACAGTGTACGGTCTAATTAATTACAAAGCCACATGCATACTTCCAAGGGCTGACAGTTCTTTTACAGCACTTATCTACTGAATTTTCTTTAATTACAAAGTCAGCTTTAATGTAAGAAAATTCAATAGATAAGACTGTTGTAATAGAACCACATCAGTCCTTTGAGGTGTGCAGCTGTCACGATCGAGAAGAAAATGATATTGTCCCGTGACAGACTAATCAAGAATCAACCACACCTACTACAAATCAAAAAACCGCTAATCAAGAATCAATACCCAGAATATTTTACCTCAACAGTGAAAGACTATTGAAGGTCAAGTATTACTATTCCCTCACAGGTTACTGAATTCACTCATGTGCAAACCCAAAACATTGTGGATCAAGACCACAGCAGCTTGTGGAATTCCCAATAACGAGATGACATTTCTCCCTGGATTCCCAAACTAATAAGGGCCAAGTGTGTCCAAGGAGAACAATCAGCTTGCTCACATAAGTACAATTTACAACTGAATGCAACGGTATTCTCCAACTCCACCCTTTCTATTGCCACATAAAATTTGTATGTGTTTCAGATAAACCTCTGATCAAGCACAAACCTTTCTGCTTGTGCAGTCATAAGGAGAGTGCACATCTATACAGCATCCTAGAACTTTTCTATTCAAAGTCCACAACTTAAGTTATGGATTGGAGTTTCTAACAACAGTTTCTCTGGAGTCCCTTCCTACTCAAATATGAATTTTTCAGTCACTTTCAAATTATTCAGGTTGTGGATTGAAAAAAAAAAAAATCACTCAGTGCTCCTTACAGCTTTAATTGGTTTGGTCCATTTCAATACGGACACTAATTTGAAAAAGCTCCACAGATTACACTTTATGCTTTTTCTAAAGCTGAATTTAACTGTTAGATTTCTGTTCGAAGTAATCACATGTGCTGGGACAGGCATTGCTTCGGTGTTAGTGGGTAATTTTAATTGTTTTGTCAGGCAGTGAAGCCTGGTTCATTTCCACTTTTGTGGTGCTCTATTTTAATAGTCAAAAACAAATAGAAAATAGCAACAAACGTACACAAGGAACATCGGAGTTATAACTCACCAGGTCCCAGTACAGCCAGAAGTCCCTAAACCTTCATTAATTGTAGTCAGAGGGAGCAAGAATGGGAGTAGTTATTTTATGTTTGAAGAGTAGTTATTCAGTTTGTTCTTTGACACTCAGATCGGAACTCCAACAAACATTTTTACAGAATAGCAGCAGCCATTCACCAGATCTGAAACTTGCAACATGCAAAGACTTCCTCAGTCTCTCCATACATTTGAGATTCTTCTTTAAAAAACACACCACAGCAGTTACTCCTGTACTCTCCATTTTCCACTTCCAGGTGGGTGTGCTGAAGTAATGGAGTCTGTGTACTCAAAGCAGAACATTAACACTACTGCTTTTCACTTCAATCATCAAAAAGTTTCAAAATTACTTTGAAACTTAGCCTTGATTAACAAGCAAAACCCTAGTTAACCAGTGATTATTTATTTACTTTAAACCAAAGCAAGACTAACATATTTGAAGATTGCCCCACAATGCCAGAAAAAGCTAGCAAGGCTCTGAACCGTCACCTGTACTATATGGAAAAGTAAATTTTGGATCACAGGTTTACTTATTTCAGCATTTTGTTTTTAAACCGTGCCTCCCAAAAGCAGAAGTCTAAGAACCGTGCATTCATGCTTAATTTGCCACAAGATACAGGAAACGTAAGAGGCTGTGAAGTCAGAAAGAAAGAAGTGGGAGTGTTAGTAATAAAGGAAACAAACCAGTTCACATCAGAGTCAATATGACAAACTACCTGCACCAATTCATGCCATTTTCTTTAATCCATATAAAATGACCAAGTACTACTGTAAGAGGCACTTTAGAAAGAACACAATGCAAACCATCAGGAGGGCGTAATCTATTCTCTTTCAGAGAGAAATTTAATCATATTGGGGAATAAAAGGTGACCACTTAATCCAAGATATTTACACTACATTTCTAGCAGAGATCCCAAAACTCTAGAAGCTTTAACAGAACTGCTCTTTGATAATGCTGACAAATAGTGAGGAAAGAGGAGCTAAAATGCAGTTCAACTGTCAGCAATAGGGTCAAGCAGAATTAATATTTTATAATGTTAAAAATGCTTAAATAGTGGAGCACAAGACCAGTTGTTTAAATTCACTTAATTCACGTTTAAGATCAACTGTTTGCAATATTGTTTAGATGATCTAGGTATTTCCATTTAGAGTTAATGGATGGTTACATTAGTTTGAAACAGTATTCCCTCTAATTTTTTATGTCCGTGTGTGGAATAAATTTTATGTGCACCAATATGGAGGTGGTGTGTGACGCATCACCTTCATATTGGTGCACATAACAAAATTCATGGGGTGGGGGTGGGGCCAAGGGGTTTGAAGTGTGGAAGGGGGCTCAGGGCTGGGGCAGAGGTTTGGGGTGCATGGGGATGAAGGCTCTGGGCTGGGGCTGTGGATGAGGGGTTCAGGGTGCAGGAGGGAGCTCAGAGCTAGGGCTCTGGGGTGGGGTCGGGGATGAGGGGTTCAAGGTGTGGGAGGGGGCTCAAGGCTGGGGCTGCGGATGAGGGGTTCAGGGTGCAGGAGGGTGCTCAGGCAAAGGGTTGGGGTGTAGAGGGAATGACGGCTCTGGGGTGGGGCCAGGGATGAGGGGTTATTATAACTAGGGTTTCTCATACTGTTCTGTCCCACTTCTTTTCCTACCCTCAAACATTTCCACTGCTTTTTACCATCATTTTAACTCAGTTTAAGGTAGCACTAAAATAAACACACTAATCCAAGATTCATACTACTCACTTTTGGGTATACTTGAAACCTAGTGATACTCTTCTCTTTCCTCCCTCCTCCCCCATTCTGGAATACTAGGGGAAGAAAGAGAAGCAAGTTGTCAAGCTATGGATTTTGTGGTCTGATCTCTCCTTGTGCATTATATGTGCCCACTTCTTCCTGCTGCAGTAGAGTGCAAAGCCAACCCAGGGCACTTGATACCACAGGGAACTCCTTTTTTCCTCCCCTTCCTACCACCCATTTTCAGTGCCTTGCCTCATGTTTTTGTAGTGCTTCTTAAAAGCAATTCAGGTAGCGGAATTAAGCTATGAATGGTCTTCCCATTCAGTTTGGAAGGAAGCGGAAGCTTCTGAAGGAGTTCTAGACTGCAAGAGTCACTTCTTCAACTTGTACTTAAAGAGAGCGCTGTTATAAAAAGGTTATCCTTGGAAGCGCATCTTAAGACACAGAAACAATTTTCCTTATCTCAGATGGTACACTGGCCCCTCCCTTGATTTTTGCAGGAAATCCTGCAGCAACTACAAGTTTCCTCACAAGTATGTGTCCATGCAGAAGTGAGGAAAGTCCTGTACAGATACCTTTGAAGGAGCGAGACTTTTTTTTTTTTTTAAAATGTAGGCAGGGACCCTTCCCCAGAGGGGAACAAGCCCTCTTGGTAGCCCTGCATTTGTATGGAGAATATGGGAAATAGCCCTTGTACACAGCATATATCTATTTTTCTGAGCACAAGGGCTCCTTGTATTCCCTTGGCGACCAGCTTTTATGCACCTGTAGGATTGTTCTAAAACAGTGGTTCTCTACCAGGAATCTGTGGTCCCCTACGGGGGCCACAAAGAGGTTTCAGGGGGTCTGCCAAGCAGGGCTGGCATTAGCTTCGCTAGGGCCCAGGATAGAAAGCTGAAGTCCCACCATGCGGGACTGCAGCCTGGGGTGCTGAACCCTCGCACCTGGGGCTGAAGCTGAAGCCTGAGCAACTTAGCTTTGTGTTGCCCCCTATGGTGTGGGGGCCCAAGCAATTGCCCTCCTTGATACCCCCTAACACAAGCCCGGGCTTTTATATGCAGAAAACAGTTACAGCACAGCTAGGCCATAGAACTTTTATAGCATGTTGGGAGAGACCTCAGAAAGAAAAAGGTTGAGAACCCCTGTTCTAAAAGATGACCACCACCTGGTTATTATGCAGAACACCTAAGGCCCCCAGGCAGAAGATGTGGGCAGTCAATTTCCCCAAGCTCTCTACACCTTAAGGATGTTCTTGTACATCATGGCCCTGAACTCCAGCAACTATTCTATCCTTTCACTAGGAAGTCATCATGCCATGAGCCTCAGAGTGCTGGGGTCACCACAATAAAGATGTAAGCATTGACTGAAGGCCCAACTTCTCCGCCAGTATCGCACTCGGGGTACTCTGAATCTTGAGGCTATCATGCATAATGTCCTAGACAGGCCTTGGGGCAATCTCCACAGGTCTTTGGTGTTAAGATCCCCCCTATTCTCTTAAAAATGTTCCTCAAATTACAGCTTTTAACTCCTGTAATCTATGTACACCAATACAGGAGACCTCCCCCACACATCTTCAGGGTCATCCTCCAGGAAAGGATCCTCAACACTCACTCCTCAGGGGAGAGATCCTTATCTCCTTTTCACTTGCTTCTTCCAAATATGGGGGATCCCAACTCCTCTGAGGGTGTTCACATCACGGTTTCCCAGAACATAAGCCACACCTATACCTCCTTCTCCTCCAGGTCTTAGAAGTCTCTCCAGAACCCCTCCATGGGTGTCTGGGCCCTTTGAAAACATCTTCTTGGATGATAATCCAGAAACGCAGGAGGCTCTGTACGCAAACTCACCTTTCGGCCACCCTCATTCGTGGCATGGAACCCCTGTACCCCAGCAGCCCCAAAGGGCCAGATGGCGGCCCGGAACTCCATCGGCCCAGTAACCCTTTGTCCTGCATGGGGTCCCCCCTCCAACCTTGTCCCCATCCCCTTGGGGGTGGCTCTCAGGTCGGCGCGAACTCCAGCTGCTGGTACACCCCGTTCTCTGTGGCAGGGTCAACCCCCGGGCCCGGGCTCCAGCGGCCCCTCTGCCCCAGCCCGGGGCTCGCCCGTACCTTGACCATGTTCTCGTAGATGATGGCCCGGAACTCCAGCAGCGCCTTCTGGTCGAACTCGCGGCCGTGGATGATCCGCATCTGCTTGAGGAAAGTGGACTTGCCGCTCTCGCCGGCGCCCAGCAGCAGGATCTTGACCAGGCGGCGCACGGCGCGCCGCTCCCGGGCCAGCATCGCGTCGATCTCCCGGCTCCGCCGCCGCGCCTCCCGCTCCGAGTCCCGGCCCCGCTCCTTGCCCTCCCGCCGCGGCTCCCCGCGGCTGGTGGCTTCGGCCGGCAGCAGGCAGCGGCTCAGGGTCCGCACCACCCCGGACATGGCTGCTGGGGACGGGATCGGCACTCACAGCCCCAGGGACCCCACCAGCGCCCCTAGCAGCGGGCGGCGGCCAGCCAGACGCTCGGAGCAGCCGCAGCTGAGGAGGGGGGGGGGGCTAAGGGCCGGGACCGCCCATTCCCCCGCGCAGCGCGGCTGGGCGAGGCGGCGGGGACACGCTGCGAAGGGGAGGGGTGGGGCCCAGGGAGCCGCTGGCCGGGAGGGGAGCGGGGAGCCGGCGGGGCGCGGCCCGGAGGCCCTGACCGGGGCGGGGCTGGTGCCGCGGCGCCCCTCAGCTCGTGGGGGGCGGGGCGCGGGTCAGATGCCTGAGGAGAACGGGACACGGCCGCGGGAGAGGTCGGCCCAGCCAGCCGCTGGGGTGCCGCGGGGCGGGGAGCGAACTTGCCGGACCCTCGATTACTACTAGCCTGGCTGGCGCCCCGAGAGCGCTGGTCGTGAGGGGTGGGGGCGAGGGCGGGACTTCACTCCGCCCACCCTACGCCTCATTGGGCAACAGGGTGTCAATCAACGTAGGCCGAGAGCCGACTGGACACGCTGCACTAAGGGAGAGTTGGCGGGGGAAGGCAGGAGGAGGGGCCAAGGGGAGAAGATCTGACGGCGGGGGAGGAGAAGAGGAGGAGCTCCAAGAGGGGAGGCGGGGTAAAGGACAGAAGCACCAATAAGAGACAAAGGGACAAAGGGGCGGAGTCCATAGGGAGGCGGAGCAAAGAGGAGAGGCCTTAAAAAGGAGGAGGAGGAGGAGGCGTTGGCCCAGGGAAAAGGGAGGGAAAAGAAGGGTGGTGTTAACCTGTCTCTCTCAGCGTGTGGGTTTCACGGATGTTCTCATTGTTGGGCTTTTTGAACTCAGTGGTGGTGGGAAAATAATTGTGTTAAAAAAAAAAATCATAAGCCAGATATGTTGCTCCTTTCTCCCTGGATTGCTTAGGGGGGTTGTTAGTTGATAGTTGGAGTTGTTAACGGCATTTAAAATCAAATCAGAAGTATAGTTAAGATGGCAGTAGAAACCCTTACACAGATTATTAAGAAAACAGGGTCAGGATTGGTGTATTGAAAGCCATGCGTGAGCGTCTCATTATTGGAACTACACAAGGGCTTGTTCCTACACAGAGCAGCTGAGGAGTATTGCTAACATATGCACAAGGTATTAAGCGATGAGCTAAGAGGAACTGCACAGTTTATTAGGTCCTGCTTTAGCAGCCCTTGATGTCAATGAACAAATCCCTACTATCTTTAATACATGCAGGATCAGTCCCACAGTGAGAGTATCGCTACCAATTCAAAAGTTCTTTGTTCAGTCAAAATGTTATAACCATTACAACAAATCTGCAGAGCAATGTTTAATAGACCCATCTCTAAACTGCCACCTAGAATCAAAAGTGGGTTCCTGAAACTGCAAATCTGACAATGTGACCTCCACATCAGGAAAAGATAATGCTGCAGAATCAATGTATGTTCAAATGTCTAATGATAAAACATTCTGCAAAATCTAGAGTAGCAGACACTCATGTACATTTTAATTATTTCTTAGGCTACTCCTCAGGCCCTAATAAAGGAAGAAATTCAGATTGAAACAGCATGATTGTGACTTTCTTGTTGTATTACCATTTACTTTTATATTTCAAGACAAAGACTCTAAAATAGAATTAAGTTTAGGAGTACAGAGCAGTAACAATAGTTAAACAAATTATAGTTGTCTCCAAAACCATGTATTACCAACGCAAGAAATGTAGAGTTAAGACTTAAAAGAAATTCATAGAATCTTAGAATATCAGGGTTGGAAGGGACATGTTACATGTTAATGTACAGAAATGCACAGGGAAAGCACCCAATGAATGTTAAGTGCCCTGTATTGACACCAGGCAATAATCATACAATTACGATTAAGGCATTTTAGTGTTTGTCATCCCAGATTTGAGGAGACAGAGTTTTTTCATTTTTTTCTCTTCACAGTGCCACTACAGAACCAGGTTAAAGTTATTAGTTTGCTTTAACTATGTGTTTCCATACACAAGTTAAAACAAAACAAATTGTAACCAGCAGTTAAGACCCTAGTAAACTCTAACAAAACAAAACTCAGTCCCCCCAAATCTCCCCTCTTTCAGAACCATCAGCCTCTATCAAGTATCCTCCTCCACCCAAAATGAGAGCAGAGAAATAGAAGTGCCATGATGATCAGCACATTATTTTGGACCAACGGAGGGGTAGATTCCAAAAGAGAGAGCCTCTCTGAAGAATGCTCTGCCCCTGGTACCAACTCTTTCAAATCAAGGGGTTCCAGCTCAAACATTTCCTCCAATAGCAACTGTGGCAGCATAAAACAAAGAGAGAAGCTGTCTTCCAAGTAGGCGGGTCCCAACCTGTTTGGAGTTGAGTTTTACAGGTCAAGACAAACAATTTAAATTCCCGTGGAGAGCAGTAATCAGCAAATGGAGCTCATGGAGCACTGGTGTCCTATTCTCCCACCAACAAGCAGACTCCAGTTTAAGTTTCCAGATTGACTTCAGGGGTAGCTCTATGTACAGCACACTGCAGTAATCCAGCGCTGAGGTGACAAAGGCATGGATTATAGGAGCAAGAGCTACATCTGAACAAAACTGCCACAGTCTCCTGGACAAGCACTGGTGGAAAAAAGCACTCCTGGACCTGCTGTTTGTGATTCCCTGACAACAGCCAGGGATCCAATACCCTCTGGCTGCAAACTCAAACAATAAATAGCCACACACCCTCAATAAGATAGAGAGAGATGTCTCCCTATCTTGTTGCTTCTCCCCCCTCTCGTCCCCCTCTCAATTATTGAATGCACAGACGTACAGGGAACAATTAAAAACACGCTCATCCTTTCTGGAAGTGTACAGACTGAACATTAACCACACATGATGCTGTTGTGAGCACTCCAAAACAAACCCTTTTAGTCTTAGTAAGTGCAGTGACTTAGGTACTGCAAGAATCTGGAGCAGCAGAGCATAGCAGTTTGTCACAAACTGTCCTCTACTCACTATTGCAGGACCTAATGGGGGTTTTGTCTTCCAGGACCTTTCCTCTTTATAGGGGTTGAGATGCTGCATTGGACCTATCTCCATGGGCTGGATGACTCTAATATATTACATGTAATTCACCAATTCAGTCACCAGATGTCACCAATGTCCCACAAAGAAACGAGTCAAAAGAATAAGATGGGGGGAAAATCCTATGGCCGTTCAGAGCAGCTGAGAACACAGGTGTCACTCCAGCTGACATCAGTGAGATGTGCAGGTGCCCAGCACTTGTGAAAATCAGGCCCAAAGTGCCTATAAAGTGAGCAGCCTGGTACTTTCTCATTAGCTCCAGCACTCTCCTTTAGTATAATGCTGACACCACTTCCTCTCTGCACTCCAGGCTGCTTCAGGGATTCAAGGGATTTAGAGAGTTCAGACAAGTACCAAGCTTAATTTCCCTGGAGACTATAGTCCCAGATGAATTGCTCAGCAAACAAACCAGCAGCTAGAGATCCTCAGCTCCCATTACTGGATCCACATTAACAATACTCACTTGTGGGTTGAAGTGGCTTGTCCATTCATTCTTCCATCCAGCAGAAGGAAAAGGTCCATCCCCCCTCAGCGCTGCAGCTGTTCGTCCAATCATCGCTAAGCTATTCTCACTGCAGTGCAGAATGAAGTTGGATCACCATTGCAAAGCTGCTACAATACCTCTTCTGTCGTCATGCTGAGAGGGTGGGAAAGAACCTCACTATGGCTGGGCAGTGCTCGTGTAGCCACCTATTGATGTCGTTGCTAATTTTGTGTGTGTGTGCAGCACCATTAAGTGTGTGAGCACCCAAAGAAAACAGCTTGTAAGCAACATACTGTGCTCAGTCTGCCACTACTCCTCAAATACACCACACTCCACATTTCCTTGACCCCTGCCTATCTCCCCACCCCATGACTCCCAACCATTCCTCTCCCCCATCCTTCCATTTAGGAGACATCAAAACCACAACCAGTGCATGAGTAAATTAAATACAATCTAGTGACCATAATACTGAGTCTTGTCTATCAATTTCATTCTCTCACTCCCTCTGTCTTCCTCCACCTCCCAGTTTCATCCTTTCTTTATCTCTATTCCATACCCCCTTGTTCCTTCTCTATTAGTTCCACTATTATTGTTCTTTGTGTCTTTTTCCTCCTCCTTCTGAGGTGAAGAGCTAGCTGAGAAGTTGAGCATATTTCTTACCTGCCTGTCTCTCAGTTGCTGGCAGCATAATGAAGAGGAAAAAGTAGAGTGAAAGATGAGTGTGGGAGAAGAGAAATAGGGGCAAGGTGTAGTAACAGTCTCTCCATTTCCCTCACTGGCTGTGCAGCAGTTGAGTTTTGAATGAAAAGATGGTTCTCGGGGAGCTGTTGGGTGATGTCACAGGGTGGCTTGCCCCTTTAGGGCTGGAGGCTTGGTGCCAGCCAACCCTGAATACCAAAGGAACTGCTCCAGTCCACCTGTACTGTGCATGGATGGGGCCTGATGGAGGAGAGGTGATTCACCTATAAAAGAACATACGAACGGCCATACTGGGTCAGACCAATTGTCCATCTAGTTCAGTATCCTGTCTTATGACAGTGATCAATGCCAGAGGCTTCAAAGGGAATGAACAGAACAGGGCAATCATCCAGTGATCCATCCCCTGTCATCCAATCCCACCATCTGGCAGTCAGAGCCTGAGGGACTCCCAGAGCATGGGGTTGCATCCCTGACCATCTTGATGAATAACCACTGAAGGACCTATCCTCCATGAACTTATCTAGTTCCTTTTTCAATCCAATTATAGTTTTGGCCTTCACAACATCTCCTGGCAACGAGTTCCACAGGTTGACTGTGCGCTGTGTGAAGAAGTACTTCCTTGCGTTTGTTTTAAACCTTCTGCCTATAAAGGCAGCAGGAAGCTGTGCATAGACAGTAGAGAGGATGGAAAGACTCTTGCAGTGAAGATCCTGAAACGAGGGGAAGTTGCCCCACCCAAGAGGACTGGGAGTAGGCTGCTAAAACAGGAAGAACACCCTGCTACCAGAGCCTGAAGGCTGAGGTCCATCCACGTAAAATCTGAGCACTGGTGAATTAAGACTGTGCTTGGAAGGAGGGCTGGGAGATCCCTACCAGAAGAAGAGAAGGAGGCGGGGGGCGGATATTGAACTGGGAATTCGGCTTGGAGGGCCAATGTGAGTAAAGACTAAATAAACTGGATCCCATAAAGGGAGTGTTCTAATTACCTTTTGAACTGTGCTGTTGATTTATTGAAGCAGAGGCAGGGTCCTACAGAGTGACCTTTGGTCATGAGTGGGTGCTAGGAGGCAGCTGACCCACTACGGGGGGAATGCTGTGGATTGGAGGTTGTGAAGCAGTTG